TTCCAAGTCTGCTAAATTTCTAGGAGTCACCTTGGACAGCAAACTCAATTTCAATGAACATATCATCAACACCACCAAAAAAGCCACGGCATCCCTCATGCAATGTCGAAGAGCTGTCGGCCCCACATGGGGTATGAGCCCTAAAACATGCAAATGGATGTACACGGCTGTCATCCGTCCAATCCTATCCTACTGCTGTAGTATATGGATCAGGGCCACTCAAACGGACTATAACGCGAAGAAACTCAAACGTGTGCAGGCATTGGCACTCAGAATGATGTCTGGTGCCATGCCAAGCACACCTTTTATCGCATTGAATCACCTCACCGACACTTCTGACATCATACTGTTCCTGCAAGGCGAAGCAGCAAAGGGTGCGGCCAGGCTGCAAGCTTATGGCAGCCTCACTCTTGAAACTATCGCCTTCAGGAAGGGAACTATCAAAAATCATACCACTATCAACAAACAATTCATGGCAGACCTCATTATCCCACCTAGAGCAACGAGAGACCTAACAACACCAACCATGATGCTGGGACGGCACTTCACCGTCACAACTCCTGGAGCCGATAACACTGAATATAGAAATTCACTTCAAAACACCATTGACAACATTACCAGTGAAACGATCACCTGCTACACTGACGGGTCACTCACTGACTCAGGATGCGGGGCTGGCTATATCATCACAACTGACAACAATAACACCACCCTTGAAGAAAGATCATTCAAGCTCCCTGATTATTGCACTGTTTACCAAACAGAGCTCACCGCCATCATTGAAGCTTGCAAATATCTCTCTACCTATACCAACACACACATCATCATATGGTCTGACAGTCTCTCATCTATACAAGCTATCTCTGCGCTTTCAACGCGGAGTAGAACTACAAGAGACTGTTACGACTCTCTTAATGCACTCGGATCCAACAACACGCTAGAGATACGATGGATTGCAGCACACATCGGATTGTGGGGGAACGAAAAAGCAGATGAGCTGGCCAAGCTTGGTACAATCAGTGAATCCACTTTGAAGTGTCCAATTCCTCAATCCTACATCAAGCGTCAAATCGACAACAAAGTCAACAGACTGAATCAGGAAACTTGGTTAACTGACGGTCCCAGACACACCAAACTGACACTCGGTCACAAGCATGCCAAAATCATCAAAAACCTCAACACTACACTCAGCAAAAACAGACAAGATTACAGAACTGCAGTTCACCTCATCACGGGTCACTGCGGCTTAAACAACCACCTTCACACCATTTGCAAATCAAACACCAGTGCTTGTCCTATGTGCGGCGACGAAGAGGAAACTGTCTCACACTTTCTTGGACAGTGTCCGGCTATTGCCCAAATAAGAGGTCAATATTTCCAGGACTACTACCTCTCTGTCAATGACATATTCGACAACCAACACATCACCACAATTGTCAATTTCGCAAACCGCACCAAACGCTTAATTGTGCCGGAGGAGCTGGATCAGACCGGGGTGACTTAAAGTATTATTTCATATGCTGTCTCGTCTCGTTTTACTTTTCCAAACCCAGCTGGCATTAAGCGTATCATTTTGACTCATATAATAACATCTTACACCATCCTCCACCAATCACTCTGATTTCACCGGCAACCTTGCCCAAGGTTGCCACACCCCAGAGGTAGGCAGAGCATCTCAATGCTATCCTCTCGTGGGCTATCTTGGCCCAGCCTCTCTTAAAAAAAAAAAAAAAAAAAAAAAAGGGATGAGATTGTAGGAGACTTCTGATAGATGGATCTCATGTTTGGTGTCCACCTTCTTTCCCCGGTACTTAATTAAAAGAATATCCATTTGAGCATATATATTTTAACAATTGGTCAAAATATGGGTAAAAAGAAACAATAAACATATAATAACATTTATTGGAATGTGAGAATTTGTATTGTGGCAGGTGGTTGATTTAAGTGCTCCAAGAAATAATTTTACTTTACAATAGGCAATGATGAGTGGCAGGATTTTGTAGCCCACTAATAAACATTCATCTTCAAATCTTTCGAAAATGGCATTATCTCATAGAGCAATATATTCTTGGTTTAAAAAGACAACAAAGAAATTTTCAAAAGAAGCCTATAGAAGAAATTCTGCTTGTGTGCTTGTAAGAAATATCAATCATCTATACGATGGGAGTTGGGACATAAGATTAAAGGCTCATAATGTTAAGTTATAGAAGTCAAGCACATTGATGCATTTGGGACAAGCCATTAGAACTCACTGTACGGCCTCAAGTAGGAAAAATTGTGTGCTTCGTCATGGAGATGGTATGTGAGAATTCATAGACCTGTGATCTACAACAGTCAATATGTTACCAATGATTTGAATATCTTTGAAAGTGTCAGATCGAGGATTCAATGAAATCTTATTTGGAGATTTTCACTTTATATCAAAGAATAGGTGATATGATGTTCTATTCTTCATATATGTATTTACAAAAGGTCGTGAGCATACAGTCTCAAGTCTACAAACATCATTCCCCGAAACTTGTGGACGATATCAAATTTAAAGCTGGAAAAATATCAGCCAACAATACAATTTGCTTAAATAGTAAAGAATACGAAAGTTAACATCAAACTAGGCGGTTTGTTTGCTCATAAGTAGTCATTTCTTCTGCATTAGAATTAGCGCTCGATTCATCAGGCTATATATCTATGCATAACAATAAAAATGTATACAAGCTATATTAAAATGACTCTAGATGCATCAATTACCAAATACTTAATTGTTTCAAAATTTATATACTGTGGTCGTACGTCGATTTTTTAATTCAAAACATGGAAATGGGTAGCGCATGGTCGCGCGCGCAACAATAAGGTCGCATTTGTGATTTCACTATTTTACATGACGTACGCGTAACGCGCGGACGCAAGCGCGACTAGCAGCGCCAAACGGGATAGAAAATAGCGCGGCTCTATTCAACGTGGTCCCATCTTGTAGCATTCTTGCTTTGCATCGTCGATCGTTGCTCTGCTTCGCAAAGCAACGATCGCAATGGGTTGACACCGTCAATCAATCAAATGATCAGCTCTCAGTGTCGACGAGTTTTAGTGCATATAATTCCCGGAAATAGTTATAATTACAATATATAGCCTGGGGTCCCCAGTTTGCAGTTCAATTTGCGAAGTGTGCTTGCTTTCTGTGAAGGTATAAAACGCACTTTGGATGATAGATATAATTCAAGTGTTTTTACTAAAAGTAGCTGCAGCTTTGTTTGAACTTTTGAACGCGTGACGATGACAATTTTTTTGTCCAGTGTTAATGACCTGGCGCGCGCTACTTCATACTTTGCAGCACTTGCATCGGGCTATTATAATTCGAGAAGAAAGCGATGCAAGCTACTTTGCACTTCGAAGAAAATTAGAAAAGTATTTCATCCATCATATCAAATCTTTTTCAGCCTAGCGCGTACTATCCCTTTATTACTACTTTTGTATGTTTACAACCTACCAGGACGCGCGCCGAGTTGGACCATGGACTCGTCGACGGTTCAATATATGTTAACGGTTACTGGGCGGCGCTCAGCCTGTCATTCCGCCGAATCTCTATTCGTTATGTTAATGAACATGATAGCCTGAGGTCCCCAGGTAAGTTAACGGGTGATACTCGTAAAATATCGGTTCCATATATTAGGACCGTCTACGAGTCTACCAACTCGGCGCGTGTCCTGGTAGGTTATAAACCTACAAAATATATGGAACAGTTATTTTACGAGTATCATGCGCCTATTTGCGCGTTTTAGAGGGTTCAATTACGCCAGGCTATGTTTATGAACATAATAGCCTGGGGTCCCTAGGTAACCGTTAATACTACTTCGGATGATTGCAAAAAGTATTATCAATCATTTCATGCGCGGCGCTGTAAGCTACAAATCTATCATGCGAACTCACGTGTTTTGCGCCACCTGGTGTACACAAAATACGTGAGGAGACCGCGCCGCCGTAAATTTGCGGAAACAGTAATACTGTATAGCTTACTCGTTCCCCGGAATAATACGTAACACCCGTATTGAACTAATAGATAATCAATTAACATATTACAGCCTTATCATTAATCACATAAAACTATGTTAAAGATGTGAAAACGTCCTCAAAATGAGCGATTAATATACACTAATATTCGATCGAGGGCCGTATGATGCAATCAGTTTTAGAGCTCTAGGGCTACAATGCGGGTCACATACATAAGGCCATAGAGATATTATTGAAGTTCTTCGATTTAAGTCAAAAGATTAAGATCGTCCTTAAGCAAGGTCATCTTAAGAATATGAAGTTAATTGGCTTTTTCCTTATTTCCTTATTTAAAGTTGATATTTTTGGTACTATTAGAAAGAAGGGGTTGCATCGTATGACCCAAAGAGAATACAAATAAATTAAACCTCTCATGTATGCCAAATTGTTGATCGATAAAATATACGACAGAATGCAGAGATGTAGGAATTGGTGTTCAACTGTGATTGAAAAGAATATATTTTGCAAATTTGCTTATTATTTTTTTTCTAGCAGCGTTTTCTTAAAAATTTCCATCGACCAACAATATGACATTTGAGTTAAAGGATAGAAAACAAAAATATATTAATTCTGACAGTTTAATAAACCTTAAATAAAGGTAAGCGGCAACGAGAAGTATCTCGATGTACAAAAATCACAGCCAAACGAAAAACACATCAATTATGGCAATTAAACTACAGTCACCTAATACTTTAACTCTTTAAGTATACTAATCAACGATATAATCTATATCAATGGTGACAACACACACTTAAAACGATATAAATGTGTTTACAATAATATAAACCTTTCAACACACCATAAACTTAATAATGTTTATAAACTGATATACAAACTTAATCTGTTTCCATGGTAACTGTTTCCATGGTAACTGTTTCCATGGTAACTGTTTCCATGGTAACTGTTTCCATGGTAACTGTTTCCATGGTAACCAGGTAAGTGTTTCCATGGTTACTGTTTTCATGGTAACCAGGTAAGTGTTTCCATGGTAACTGTTTCCATGGTGACTGTTTCCATGGTAACTGTTTCCATGGTAACTGTTTCCATGGTAACTGTTTCCATGGTAACTGTTTTCATGGTAACCAGGTAAGTGTTTCCATGGTTACTGTTTTCATGGTAACCAGGTAAGTGTTTCCATGGTTATTGTTTCCCCTAAAACACCATCAAATTATCCTCAGTATACCCAAGCTTCTCAAGGTTGGGAAGACAAGCGAACTTTATCATAGGAGGGGGTCCACACATCATTACAGCAGAGTCAGGACCAGGCGCAGGGAGGTGATTAGCTATCATGTCAGCTGTTACAAAGCCTGTATCATACTTCCAACCTGGAGGTAATAATTGTGAAATTAATTGTGTCAAAGTTAGAATCTGGTCGATTAAATGCACAGTTTCGGGGTGTTTTTATAATTGCGTTTAAGTGAGAGCCTTGTTATTATATTCCATAATATTGTCATTTATTCTAATAAATGTGACCAGCTGTAACAACATGGCCGGATAAATGACAATACACTGTTTGTGTAACCCGTAACACCCAATTATATACTGACTGTTTGAAGCGTACATTTACTCAACTGGTTTTCAAGTCTCTTATAAACACCGTAAATAACGTGACTCATTAAGATTTCAAGTTGAATGATCTAACTACTGTTTATGTAGCCGCACAGTATATGTTGAATATTATTTATTCCTTCTAGCAGAGTGACAAATTGATATGATGATTGATATAATGTGGAAAGCCCGAAGAGGTGATATTTAATCGATTTCTCTGTTACTCCAGCTTCATTATAGGAGGACATATTTGATATTATTATCAAACCAAATACCCGTTTCAAAAACTGAGGGAAGGAGGAATATTTCACATACCAGTTGCGGGAGCTTTGTCCACGGTGTACCAAACATTGAACCTCTCATCAGACTGCATGCTCTCAATAATATCCTGACACAGAATATCCTCAGGTGTCTGATTAGCAAACAAGAGGAAGATCTCTGAATCATCACCAGGGTTCTTTAGAATCTCTGTTGCTACCTGTAGCATCGGCGTGATACCTGGTAATTATTGTTTCATTAATTAGGTAATTAAGTAATTAGGGCAAGAAATTGCATATCAAAATAATAAGATAACACTAAAAGTTTTAAATTGTTATCTATTTATAGTTTGAGTTACGTCATTAGTAATAGAGTAATATGTGTTTTGGTGATTATACGTAGAATTGAGATTGATAGTTCCCAAACGAATCATTTTGTTGAATAATCTAATTATTAAAATATTTAGGTAATTTAATTATTTGAATAATTAATCACCTGAACCGCCAGCTATCATTCCTATCTTCCTTCCTAACACACGATTAACAGCTCCTTTCTTCTTCACTTCATACTTACCGTTTCCAAGATAGTTGATCTTTCCCTGTATATATTAGAAATATTACAAAATATATTACAAAATATATTACAAATATTACAAATATCACAAATATTACATACATACATACATACATGTTACATGGTAAGGTCTCCTCCTAGTCGTTGGAGTGGCCTGCATCACACACATCGCGTTGGCGGCGTAACATATGTCTCCACTGTACTCGGTTGGTAGCCAAAGCTTCTGTTGTGTTATTGTCGATGTTTTCAACACCTGTAAACTTAGCAGCATCTTCGAGTACGCAGGACTTCCAGTTCTTACGGGGTCTGCCCCTTGACCTCTTTCCATAATTTGGCTTCCAGTTCAACAGAAACCTCGGTAGTCTAGAGTCTGGCATTCTAACTACATGTCCATACCAACGTAGCCTGGCAGCACTGATGAAAGTCTCAACAGACTTGATGCCAGCCCTCCTAAGAACTTCGTCGTTGGTCACATGAAAGAACCATTCAATCCTAAGGATCCTTCTCAAGGAGGTTTGATGGAAAACCTCGAAGCGTTTCATCTGCTTTTTGGTGGTGTTCCAGACTTCAGCTCCATACAACAAGATGGTGAGGACAGCAGCCCTATAGATCCTGATCTTGGTTGGGGGGGGGGGGGGGGGGGGGGATGCAACGTCAATTAATGTCAATTAATGTCAATTAATGTCAATTAATGTCAATTAATGTCAATTAATGTCAATGTCAGTTTTGCAAAATTTAGGAATACTGACATTAATTGACACGATATTTTTCGACCAGAGATTATGTAGTTCTACCATATTTTAAGCACTTTAGAACGTTTATATCATCAATTTATTCACTACTATCACATATGGAAATGTGAAATGTGAAAAATTCAGATCATTAAACAATAAAACTAAAATAATACGGTTTTCCGAAATTTAATTTTCTTAAATGGGCGTGGCCATCCAAGGGCGTGGTTCTCAACATCATCAGAACTTAAAACCCACATTAAACGAAATGCCTTCATGACATTTATATTTGAATAACGAATCTTAAACAGCTAAAATTTCTCCTTCATACTAAAAAAGCCGATTCTAGATAATTTACCTGTATAAGAAACCAATAAAATATGGGCGTGGCCGGTGGGGACCGAAGATGGAAGAGTTCAAAGCTGAAATTTTTTTTGGTGGTCTTTGAACCTAAGGATCAACAGATAAGAACATACTCATAATTATTCAAGGACATTTTGTTTTTTTGAACCGGTCTAACTTACATAGACGTGAATATCTTGAATATTTATCGAATAATGATAATCTCAAATTTCAAGACAAATTTATGTCAATTAATGTCAATTAATGTCAATTAATGTCAATTAATGTCAATTAATGTCAATTAATGTCAATTAATGTCAATTAATGTCAATTAATGTCAATTAATGTCAATTAATGTCAATTAATGTCAATTAATGTCAATGTCAGTTTGGGGTTTTTATGGAATACTGACATTAATTGACGTTGCATCCCCCCCCTTGGTTGGAGTCTTTATAGTTCTGCTATTCCAAATGTTCCAGAGCTGATGAAAGGCGCCATTAGCCTTCTGGATACGGACATCCAGGTCTTTGTTGATTGTCCCATCCCCACTGATAGTTGCACCCAGGTAGACAAAGTTGCTAACCTGCTCGACGGGTTCACCCTCAACCGACAGCTCAATACAATCATCCTTGATGAAAGGTCGCTGGGAGGCGCACTTGCTTACAGCCATGCATTGGGTCTTCTTTGCATTTATTCTGAGCCCAGCGTAGGAGCTGTAATGAACTAATAGATCAGTTGACTCCTGTAGGCCTTCCCCTGAGTTGTCCATAATAGCCATGTCATCAGCATAATCGGTGTCCAGAATGACCTTTTCCTCGACCGTCTTCATCTCTTTCTGCAGCACTGCGCCTTGACTGATGATCTTGTTGGTCTCAGCCAGAAATGCAGAAAAGTTTAGGCAGAAATTAAAGACAGGAGGTGCTTGAATGTCACCCTGACCTGTGCCTGAGTTAACATCAAACCAGTCTGTCAGCTTCCCCATCACAAATATTACAAATATTAAAAATATCACAAATATTGCAAATATTACAAACATTACAAATATTACAAATATCACAAATATCACAAATATTAAAAATATCACAAATATTACAAATATTACAAATATTTAAAATATTGCAAATATTTGAAACATACCTTAGGACCCCGAACGTCTATACAGTCCCCAATCTTCATATTCTCCAGGTACTGGGTCAGCTTACCACCGGCAGGGAACTTGGGGTGAACGTCTTTAAAATAAACCTGCAAGGTAATTAGTTGATAATTAGTTTGTAATTAGTTGGTTATAAGTTGGTAATTAGTTGGTAATTAGTTGGTAATTAGTTGGTAATTAGTTGGTAATTAGTTGGTGATTAGATGGTAATTAGATGGATAATAAATGGTTTTAATCAATTGATTAAATTGTTTAATTTTGTCGGCAGTTACAGTCAGAATTATGACTTATGTTATGAGATGTAACAGTGAGGCCGTTTTCCATTGTCCACATTAAATATCACAGAGGTTCCCGAACACTAACGTTTAAAACCTGGTCACGTGGTTTAAATCGTACCTGGTCACATAAAGCCTAGTCACGTGCTTTAAATAGTACCTGGTCACATAAAGCCTAGTCACGTGGTTTAAAATAGTACCTGGTCACATAAGACCTAGTCACGTGGTTTAAAATAGTACCTGGTCACATAAAACCTGGTCACGTGGGTTAAAATAGTACCTGGTCACATAATGCCTAGTCACGTGGTTTAAAATAGTACCTGGTCACATAAGACCTAGTCACGTGGTTTAAAATAGTACCTGGTCACATAAGACCTAGTCACGTGGTTTAAAATAGTACCTGGTCACATAAAGCCTGGTCACGTGGTTTAAATCGTACCTGGTCACATAAAGCCTAGTCACGTGGTTTAAAATAGTACCTGGTCACATAAGACCTAGTCACGTGGTTTAAAATCGTACCTGGTCACATAAGACCTAGTCACGTGGTTTAAAATAGTACCTGGTCACATAATGCCTAGTCACGTGCTTTAAATAGTACCTGGTCACATAAAGCCTGGTCACGTGGTTTAAATCGTTCCTGGTCACATAAAGCCTAGTCACGTGGTTTAAAATAGTACCTGGTCACATAAGACCTAGTCACGTGGTTTAAAATAGTACCTGGTCACATAAGACCTAGTCACGTGCTTTAAATAGTACCTGGTCACATAAAGCCTAGTCACGGGACGCAGGGACTTTTAAAGCCTGGTCAGTGTGGTCACATGAAGCCTCTAATTTGAGACAGTGTAATAATATGATGATAATAAAATTATTATCCGAACTGCATGGGTAACACCAATATTGGGAAGACTCATACAGCTTACTCCGACATGTTAACCTCAGAGGAGACGTTGTTATTCGGCCATTTGTTCACAAAATATTAAATTACCCTTTCTGAATTATGTGACCTACAGTTAAACAGTTATAGTATATTAAATAAACGGTTGTGTTCATCTTATAATGTTCTTAACAGACAATAGAAACTTAACACTACGAAGCGATAAGTTCTCTTTATTAGTTACTCTAATCAACTCTTTGTTATCGCCTTCTTAGTTTCGCTCTTATTACATTACGTTTATTTTCAGAGCAGTTTCTGTAATGTGCCTAATTAAAACTAGTTCGGTAGTAATAACATACAAAACTTGATGAGGCGGCCGGGTCACTCTACTCCTCTACTCCACTCCTCCTCTCTTTATCTTTACATTCTTTATCACACTTCTGTTGCAGTTAACGTGGGTATTGTATAATGACCTTTAGTTGCCGGGCACTTTTTCAGAGCTCTTATTCAATCTAAGAGTCTATGACTGCCACAAGATTATGATGTTATTTTTTGAAACTTGTTCGATAACTTTTTTCGGCTATCACGTGGCTGAATGATCTGTACCACAGCATCTAATTTGTAAAGTTAACTTCAAGTGAGGGAGTACCACAGCATCTAATTTGTAAACTTCAAGTGAGGGAGTACCACAGCATCTAATTTGTAAAGTAAACTTCAAGTGAGGGAGTACCACAGCATCTAATTTGTAAAGTAAACTTCAAGTGAGGGAGTACCACAGCATCTAATTTGTAAAGTATACTTCAAGTGAGGGAGTACCACAGCATCTAATTTGTAAAGTAAACTTCAAGTGAGGGAGTACCACAGCATCTAATTTGTAAAGTAAACGTCAAGTGAGGGAGTACCACAGCATCTAATTTGTAAAGTAAACTTCAAGTGAGGGAGTACCACAGCATCTAATTTGTAAAGTAAACTTCAAGTGAGGGAGTACCACAGCATCTAATTTGTAAAGTTAACTTCAAGTGAGGGAGTACCACAGCATCTAATTTGTAAAGTAAACTTCAAGTGAGGGAGTACCACAGCATCTAATTTGTAAAGTAAACTTCAAGTGAGGGAGTACCACAGCATCTAATTTGTAAAGTAAACTTCAAGTGAGAGAGTACCACAGCATCTAATTTGTAAAGTATACTTCAAGTAAGGGAGTACCACAGCATCTAATTTGTAAAGTAAACTTCAAGTGAGAGAGTACCACAGCATCTAATTTGTAAAGTATACTTCAAGTAAGGGAGTACCACAGCATCTAATTTGTAAAGTAAACTTCAAGTGAGGGAGTACCACAGCATCTAATTTGTAAAGTAAACTTCAAGTGAGGGAGTACCACAGCATCTAATTTGTAAAGTAAACTTCAAGTGAGGGAGTACCACAGCATCTAATTTGTAAAGTAAACTTCAAGTGAGGGAGTACCACAGCATCTAATTTGTAAAGTAAACTTCAAGTGAGGGAGTACCACAGCATCTAATTTGTAAAGTATACTTCAAGTAAGGGAGTACCACAGCATCTAATTTGTAAAGTAAACTTCAAGTGAGGGAGTACCACAGCATCTAATTTGTAAAGTAAACTTCGCGTGAGGGAGGCTTTTATAAATCACTTAGTGGTTGCATTTTAGAGCATCCTGTGGCCTATTATAATGCCCTATAGTATACTATTAAACTTTTACATGTTTTATGGATGAATCCACCCCTTATATGGGGATATTTTTTGGACCTAAAGGCTTTTGTATGGCAACTTTTAAATTGGTTCTTTTTATCATTTATTAAATCATCAGTTTTTAAAAATATTATATAAATTCTTGGAATCTGTTCACACTGTGAACCAGTCCTATAAATAAAATTTCAAAAACTCTTAAATTAAATACAAAACTTTTATTTATATGATGAGGCTTAGGGCTTAACTTTGAAAATAATCAAAATTACACAGGTTCAGTTTTGACGACTGCAACAGACCTGACTGTATGCAGATAGCAAGATCACAGTCTGCTGGATCTCGACATAATTTTGTCAATATGATCCAGGTTAACTCCACTTGAACAGACAGAGGTAATTATTTATCAATTTACAATTATTGTAACATTTTTGTCTTCAAATTTGAAAAAAAAAAAAAAAAAAAAAAAAAAAAAAAAAAAACACTTTGCAAGCTCAATTTCAATTGAGGCTAAGAATTGATCCTATTCTAGAGTATAATGCTAAACCTAATCCGGATTAATTTGCAGATATTGTCGTCTGAAGAGATTTTGAGTTAATGATGATGCTTTACCCAAGGAGATCTATCTTCTCAATGAGTTGGAGGGTCCTGACAAGGTAATAAAAATTCAATAACCATTAAATTACATTCATTGAACTGCTAATGATATAAGTGTTCTGTCCCTCTTCCCAATGTTGGATGAGGCCATAGTTGAACTGTTTTCCACACATGTCATCGGTTGAGCTGTCCAGGACATTGATCTTCCTATTGCTTCCCACCATAAACTCAATGTGTTCAAACCTTGTTTCTGTTTTAAAGTCCGGTCATGAGCCTCTTGATTAACCTCTGCGGAGGTTATATAATTTGTAACAAGGTTCACAAACCAGACATAGGTTTCCAAAAAAATCTTGTAGTTTAAGTTTAATTTGCTTTTATGAAACCCCTCAAAATCATTGTATGCTAAATGCTAAATGATCTTACTTTCCTCGGTCAAAATTATATAATCAATATGATCATTGTAATTTCAAATATGACAACATAATCTGTCTTTTTAAAATTCTTGCAAAATTCCCATTAATTGTACTATTGTAAGTTTTGTTAGTTTTAAAAACTGTGATGATTGATCCTGACCCTCCAGCTGTCCCAGGTCCAGATCAGTACACCAGACTGGGTTAGTTATTGGACGTGACGAGGAGGTGGCTAAAGTAGCTCCTGAGAATTAAGCGACCGTAACAGTGATGATGAGGATGGAGTCATGTCTCTAACCACAGCGAAGGAAAATGCTTCGTACAGGTCTAGGTTTGCACTCTATACACTTCTCTTTGAAATTGGCAAAAACTGTTTCGGGTATGTCATTGTCTACAATTATTTGTGTATGGTCAGGACATGGTACTTGAACTTCTGATGCGCTTCTTTCTAGTGTGGCTTAACTTTATGTTTTCACCAGGGTCCTATAACAGTCAGATCAGGCGAAGCCAAAGTCAATCATCTGAGAAATAATATGTGCATCACTCCAAAAGAAAAAGAATAAGCTAAATTGATCTGATTGATAAGACTTTTGGCCGTTGCTGAATATTACTGTGTCAGTGTGTGTTGCTGTGCCTAGCCACTTATTAAAACATTTATTGCATGGGTAATAATAATAAGAATAAAGATGTAATGAGTGAAGAGAGAGGAAGGACGAAGAAGAGAGAGATAGATGCGAGAGAGAGGGAGAAGAGAGAGAGAGGGAGAGTGTGTAGAGAACGCTTAATTTGATCAGTACTCAGTAGATTATTTAACTGTACAAACTTCGTTTCGTTTATGATAAATTTTATTTGAAGCTTATGCACAGGGAACGGCTACCTCTGACATAATGCTGAAATCACACAAATTTTACTAGTTTCTGATTCTTCGTGAGAATTTGATATCACATGATACTCGTTTCCGGGTAATTTTTAGTTTGAGCAAGTTTCTGGTATCACACAATACTGATAAGAGATGTTTGTTCACAACTATGTTCTTTCTAACATGCGATAACTATACTGTGTTGTAATACCTTGAAAGGGGGACAAGAAATTATATTGGGCGTTGTTTACATGATTTTTTTAGTATCAGCAAGGGATTTTTATCAATTTAAATTAAAAATTGACCGATTCTTTCTCTTTTTAGTCATAATTTATAATGGTGACATTTTTTTCTGCCTGATAATTTTTTACTACAA